TTCCACCGCATCAGGCTGCAGTGAAAAGGTGCCATCTACAGAGCTGAAGTTGATTCCTCACCAGACAGGGAACCTGTTGGCGCCTTGCTCTTGGATTTCCCAGCCTCTAGAACTGTGAGCAATAAATTTCTGTTGTCTTTGAGTTAGTCAGTCTACAGTATCTTTTTAATAATAAACCAAATCAACAAATCCACACTAATTGTGACACCTGACCTCAATATTCCCAGCTCTTGGAAATGTTGTTATCTCCAATCCCCTTCATCGGTGAATCCACACTTAGAGAACAGGCTTCTATGGAAAATTAGTTCACCTCTGAGATCTCGAATTCTGAGTTCTCCTGCTCTGATTACAACCTTCACAGTTTTGCCCTCTCCTGCTGCTTCTCGTAGTTCATTAGCCCCTTCTCATTTCACAGACCTCCCTTCCAAGGCCATCTTGAATCACCCAGCCCCTGACTTTCTGCCCTTCTCAAAACCTCTTCAATACCCAACTACCACCAACATCATGATGTAGCTGCGTTTGTTCCGTGCTGAAGAGCACCCATCTTCTCCCTTCATGCTCTCCAGCTCCAACTCAACACCGCTCTTGTAATTCCACATTATATCCCTCGTACCGCTGTTATCAACTTGGTACAATCCCTAACCAACCCCCAGCCTCTCCATCTCAGTAGATAGTCTTCTCTGCTTCTTTGAGAAGTGATTTTCAGAGTCCTGTACATGTATCCAGTTGTTTGGGTTGATATGTGTGTGGAGGGGTATTATTCTGACTCCTGTCCCCACCCCCATATATCTCAATCTCAATCTCCAGGGATTGTTATTTCTACCTTCAACATTGATCTCAAATCCCTTCATTCCTTTCCACCTCTGTCATTTACAATTAATCTAGTTCTGACCACCATCACCTCTCACCTGGACCACCGCCAGAGCCTAAAAAATCTCTACTTTTAAGATAATCTATCTCTTTCACTCTTGTCTCCTCTTCCATTTGGTCATTCTACCTCACAGTGGCCAAAACGATACTTTTTAAATGCAATCCTGATTGTGTCTTTTCCCTGTTTTGAACCCCAAATATCCCTAAATGCTACTTCCATGGGTGCTGTCTCTCTTCCCCAACCAGGGCAAATTAGATGTCATAGGATCTTAGGGTTCTTGTACTTTTCTCTCATTGTATTTGTGCATCTCAAATACAATGACATCATTATTTTGAGATGACCTGCTTAGTGATTATTTTCCACTATTTAGTTCGGTAAACTCGTTGAGAGCAGAAACCATGTCTCATTTGCTCATTGCTGTGCACCCAGACCTAGCCAGTGCCTGATATGAGAGAAGAGTTGGTTTCTAACCTCCAGAGAATGTGCCAGTAAAGCGGGTCCAGCTGAAGGTGGACAGTAGGAAGTAAGCCTCGGAAATGGGGACACCTTTGACCCCATTCTCCATCAGCCTCCCAATCTTGCTTCCTTGCTACTTTTTCTACTGCCTTTTATCCCTCTTAACCATCATCCTATAAACACATTACATTGGGGTGGTTGACAATATCCCACTTTGGCAATGGGTCTCCCTGCACAGTCCCCTACCCTCATGCTCTARACAGCTATTTTCTGAGTATGGTTTGTTGAGAAAACATGAAGAGGCAAGGTCCTGCGTTCCTGCCCACCCCAACTCCTCACCCTCTCCTCAAGGTTCAGGTGTACCCAGGGCACCCATTCTTCACCTGCTCCCTCCAGTTCCTTCTCTACTTCTCAAAGTTCATCCTCCTTTCCCATCTTTCTGTCATCTTGCCCCTTCCCTGTAGCCTTCAAATGTCTTTCCAGCCCTAAGGGGATGGGGAACCCTCTCAGTCCTCTAACTACCTTGATGTATCCTCCTGACATTTTCTTCTTCCTCTCAATGCCAAAGTTCTTGAAAGAGCTCCATTTGCAGCATTTACTTTCTGCCACCCACTCATGGTAGTTTATTATTTTATTCACTCATTTTTTWAAAAAAAATAGTTTTAGTTGTAGATGAATCTTTATTTATTTATTTATTTATGTGGTGCTGAGGATCGAACCCAGTGTCTCACACATGCTAGGCAAGTGCTCTACCACTGAGCTACAACCCCAGCCCTATGCACTCGTTTTTTGAATAGTTGACATATGCTCACAATTCAAAATTCAAAACATTCCAGAAGGTACACAGAGAAGTATCTTCCTTCCACCCATCCTCCAAGTCCTACATTCTCCTCAGAGGCAACCCCCACTACCAACTTCTTGCTTATCTTTCCAAAGAGCATATGCATACACATATTCCTGTTTGTATTTTTATACAAGTGGAAAATTTTATACACATGTTCTACCCTTTGCTTTTTTCACTTAAAGTACCTTTGAGGTTTTTCTACACCAGTATATCCAAAGCTGCCTCATTCTTTTAAATGGCTGCTGAGAACCCACTGTGGGGGACATACCATGAATTTTCTACTCTGGACATTGAGGATATTTCTAGTTCTTTGTTCTAACAAACATACTGAAGTGAGCATCCTTATACATATAAGATTTTTCCACCCTTGTGAGTGCATCTCTAGGATAAATCCATAGAAATGAAATTGCATTTTGCAGTTTAGGATTAAATTGCTCTCTACAGAAGTTGTACCAATTCATCCACCCACAGCAAGATGCAAGAAGGCCTTCTTTCCTCCCCACACTCCCCAACAKATTTTTGTAACAAATGTTTTTATTTTTGCCAGCCTGGTAGGTGAAAAAGTATACTTTTAATTTGCATTTCCTTTTATGAAAGCAGTCAACCATTCTTCTTAAGCTTAAGAGCCATTTGTGTTTCTTCTCCTGTGAATTGTCTGTCCCAATCCTTTGCCCATTTTTAAAAAATCTTTTAATGATTCTTAGAAACACTCTATAGTAGAAAATTAGTTCCTTGCTTGTGGTACATGTTGCAAATATTTTTAGTCGCTCTGTGACCCTTTGCCATATGTCTTCTGTGCCCACTAAAACAAATCCAACTATCATCCTATTAGTTGCCTCCCAACTATGAAATTCAAAGGCCTCTTTGTGTGTTCATTTTTTTTTTCTGCATTTGACACYACGGCCCCATTTTTCTCTAATGCTTTTTAAAAAAAAAAAAAATAACTGTACTACTTTGTCTTTTGTCATCTCCCACTCTGTTACTTCTGTTACTTCTTCACTAAAATTTCTGTGACAAATGCCCTTGCAAAAGGAGACCTTTGAACTCTGCCTCAGCGGTGCCCAAGAGGAGCCCTGTCTGGAGTCCTCCTGGAGGCTTTCCCAGTATCTTAACCCTAATAGGATGTGCAAACAAGTACTGCAGGCCCAGCACTTCCCCCAGACTCCTCCTTTTTCATAACTCACATGTTATGAAAAATTTCATCAACCTCAACATGCCTGAGAAGTGCTCCTGCCAACTTCTGTCCTCCGTTGGACTCCCACTGCTTTCTTAATCCACCCAGATCTGAAACCTCAATCTCTCCCAGCCTGCATCATGATTGTTGCCAATGAGCCAGGACATCCTGGTCATTAGCATTCCCTCACAACAGTCTTCAGTGATGGTCTTTGATTTCTCCTGCTGTAGTCCTGGATATCCAATCTCCCTCTTCCCTGAGAAACCTCAGTTCTTCCCATGCACCAGCCCCCACATTCCTCAGAAAGGGCTCTGCATACTGCTGGAACCCAATTTGAATTAAGGAAGCCTCAATCCAAAAGAGATGTCATATCATCCTAGTATTAGGGTATTTGGCATTCCCAAAAGTGAAAGGGAAATACAACCCCTGCCCCATTCCACATAAGAAAGCTAAGTCCTTCCACCTATACACAGGTACATATAAGTACACACATATAGTTTCCTCATTCCTTTGGACACATCAGTGTTGAAGGAGTCAGACTTGCCATGTTTTTTAWAAAATATTTTTTAAAGTCKGAAACCACAACATGATAACTTTATTTTATTTACTTATTTTTATGTGGTTCTGAGGATTGAACCCATTTCCTCATGTGTGCAAGGCAAGCGCTCTACCCCTGAGCCACAATCTCAGCCCTGCCACGTTTTTTTTTTTTTTTTTTTTTTTTTTCCTTGTTGGTTTAACTTAATTCACCAGAATGCATTTTGGGGGAGAAGGGAGGACCAGGGATTGAACCCAAGGGGCTTAACCAATGAGCCCATCCCCAGTCCATTTTTATATTTTATTTAAAGACAGGGTCTAACTGAGTTGCTCAGGGCTTTACTAAGTTGCTGAGGCTGCCTTTGAATTCAAGATCCTTCTGCCTCAGCCTCCCTAGCTGCTGGTATTATAGGCATGTGCCACCGCGCTGGGCCCAGAATGCACTTTTATTTCGGTTTCCCCAGGCCCCTTCTCTCCAATACTCTTGGCTTGGCCTCACTTTTGCTGCAGGAACATCCAGAGAAGGTGATCCAAGACCCTGCACTATGTCCTAGTCCCAGGAGCCATCCAGCAACGTCAAGCCGGTGGAAAAGTGTCCTCACCTTGGCACTGTTAGGCCAGTGTTCCCATCCACCTGCACAGCCCTGCTCTCCTCTGGGTCCCCTTCCACCCGCACCACAGCACGCATAAAGGAAGACTCAGTGGAAAATGGCTTCCGGTCAGATGTCAAGGCAGAGCATCTGACATTTTAAGAGATCCTTGGTAGGCGGCTTATTGCCCTGGCAATTTAGTATTTCTTGGAATCGCAGAACTCAGCATTCCTGCTCTGGGGGATACATTCACCCTTACTCAGATTTATCCGGATGTTACTTGGTGGCCATTGTATAGAAGAGAGTGAGAAAGGGGGACATCTGAGAATGCAGGACGAGTTCCTACTGCTGCCCCGGGGCGGGAGAGAGAAGGGAGGAGAAAGGTGAGGCTCTGGAAGGGGTGGGGACCGCGGAGCTGGCCCGTGACAGTGCGCGCGCTGTGTTGAATTGCCCGGCACGTCGGGGCAGCGGGACAGAGCCCGGAGTGCGCGCAAAGTTTCCAAGAGTCTTGCTCCTCCCGCCGCAGCCATGGCAGAGAACTCCGACAAAGTTCCCATCACCCTGGTGGGGCCTGAGGACGTGGAGTTTTGCAGTCCCCCGGTGAGTACCGCCCGGGATCCTCAGTCCTACTGGCGGGTTAGTCTTTGGGCCCGGGCTGCTCATGAGTGTCCGGATCCACAGAGGAATAGGGGATTTGTGCTGTTGAGTGGTGTGGACGGGGAGGGGGATTTGGGTGCCCAAATGTGTGCGTGGGGTGGCGCCCCACGCGTGAGTGTGCAAGGGGCTCGTGATCCACAGACGGGCGTGAGGAGGGCATCCCGTGGCTGCGGAGAATCCAGTCCGCAGGACAGTGACTCTGCACCGCGAAAACTTTGCTGATGGCACTTCTAAGCCTGAGAACAAGGGACCCTTGGAAGGGAACAAGGAGAAAGAGACCCTTGAGGGAGCTCAAGACAGGCTGTTTCTCACCAACTCCCCTGATTCCCGGGGGACGCAACACTGGATGGCGAGGTGTGAGCCACCGCAGACACGATTGTTCCTTCTCCACCCCCGCCCGCAGGCGTATGCCACAGTGACCGTGAAGCCCTCCAGCCCCGCTAGACTGCTTAAGGTCGGAGCCGTGGTCCTCATCTCGGGAGCGGTGTTGCTGCTCTTCGGTGCCATCGGGGCCTTCTACTTCTGGAAAGGGAGTGACAATCATGTGAGTCCAAAGAATGAAGCGCCAGGCACAAACCGGAGTGGGGGTGCGCAGGGTCAGGAGGCGCGCGGGGTGGCGGGGTCCTTTCGGTTACGTTAAAGTTCCCCCCTAGGTGGAGCTAGAGCACTGGTCTGTGAAGTGCCAACTCAGAGGCCAGCTGGTCCTCTAGGGATACCTTCTCTGTTCTTCCATCCAACTCGGCTATGCTGCTTTCTACTCACAGAAAGCATCATAGCAAGTCAAAGTTTTAACAACGAATAAAGAAACGGAAGAGCAGTGGAGCTTCGCAGGAAAGCTGTTGGCCCCCCTTGGCCTGGGGCTTACACTAGGCAGTTGTGTGTTCATGGGTAGGGAATCTCACCTCTCTGAGCTTGGTTTCCTCCTTCTTAAAGGAAGAAATGGAACTGAATGACCTCTAAGACCTCTTCCAGCTGAGAAAGAGTAGAAATTAAAGACCTAGGACAAAGGGAGTGGAGAAACAGCTAACCCATACTTGGGTGTGAATTTGATCTTTCAGGAGGGTTTTGTGACCTATTTTTTACTAACACTCCCTTCTCTCTCTTTCTCTCTTTCTCTCACTCTTAATAGTGGCAAATCTCTTTGAGAATCTATTGTGGCCTAGTCACATGTGATTTAATGGTAAATGTTTCACACACTACTGTCCTACCTTCTTTGTATGCAACTATTTTTGTTAAAGCTCCATGAACTCTCAAGGAATATAAAAGCTGCTTCTAACTTGACTGGGCAGAGTTCCAGTGTGTTCACTAAATACCTGAATGTGTTCACCTATGTAAAAGGGGGCATTTTATCTTGATGACCATTGCCAGGTCTAGTATAAGCTTATTTCAACTAATGGAAAAGAATTCCATCCCCAGGGTATATACAAAGGGCTCTTTCTTAATCACTGTCCTCCTAGGATCTGTAACTGCTGTTTTTCCCCCTCTGCCACCATGAAATTCAAAGCATGAACGAATTCCAGTACTTAGAGAAAATGGTGCTGAAAGCAATTCAACCATTTTACACATCACATCTTCTGCAGTCACTGCATAATTTGTATTTTTAACTCAAATGCCTAATGTAGATAAGCATGCCATTTAGCACTGAGTCTGTTTTAGAGACTATATCAAATTTACAAGCATCAATTTGTAAGATCAGAATTGCACTGTATTTTGTGTGGATTTGAAAAGTGCCTTAATGTATTTGTATTTTAAATATAGAAGCTGGGCCAGATGCTCATATTTGAAAGCAGCAAATCTGAACCTGAGAACGTTTTCAATATCTACATCTCCATTAGTAGCAGGGTTTAGATTGTCATCCCTTTGGGAAATCTGATGGTATTAGAATATAAATGCTATCTTTTGATAGCAAAACCTCAATAGTACAGGCCATTTGGGAATAAAAATAGCTTTGCTTTTTAATTTTTCTTAGTATATAGTTTGGTCATGATTTATATAAAAGAAATATCATTCAGCATTTAATTATTCAAGACCAACACGGCTGATTGACAAGATTCTTAGAGAGTTTCAATAATCATACTAAATAAATGAGTCTCTCTYTTTTTTTTTTTCTTCCACTTCACTGCAAGATGTTTGGTCGTCTGGTTCAAGAGAAGAGTATTAAATTCTAAGAATACAGAGGAATAGTGAATCATATTTTATTGCCAAGAATCAAAGTTATTTCTATTGCCTACACAGACAGGAGAATGAAGAAAATCATGGTAGTTTTTTTTTTTTAATTCTCAAAATGCCCTATGTCAATCCATATTACTTCTCTGAAAAACAAACTACAAAATTCAGAACAGACTAAACTTGACACCATCTAAGCATAGCACATGCACAGGTTTTGCCTTCCCTGAATACAAATCTAAATCACCCAAACAAAACATAATCAAAAAAGGTAAGTCTTCGTTAAGCAGAAAGACATATCAAACTAAATGGATTGTCTCTCTTTGGGGATTAGCTGTGCCTCAGCTGCTCTACGCCAATTTTCAAAGGAAAACCAGCTATAATTCACTTCTTCTCCCTTTCAGATGGGTAAGTCCCTGAGGACAGGGCTGAAATTTGGCTGGAGGACAATGAAGTACAGGGTACTAATAATCAGGGGATAACTGACTGGGCTCAAAGATTGAGGCCATTTTTCATCCACATTATTGTAAATGGAACAAGTCGTTGACATATGGGAAATTCCGAACAATGTGAACTGACAACCCCACCCTGTGGGATGAGGGGAGGAGACCATTGCTCAAGGACTTTCTTCTCAAACTAATTTTTCTAGACATTTCCCAAACATTATGTAATTAATCTTATAGAACCTAGGCCTTATTAAAAACTGATTAGCAAATATCCTTGGCTGTAAAAGGCACCATATTGAGCAGAATTTTGGCAAATAATATACTTCATTGTACTTGGATAGAAATAGCCTTAGGTGCCAACAACTCCCTGAGCTTAGAGTAGATAATATATTGCTTCTCCAGCAGCCCAGCTTCCTCCCTAACTCAGAGCCCAGAACTTTGGAAACTGCAGACTGGCTCCCATCCTGCGCTACCCCTACCCCTGTTCAGGAGAGTTTTAGGAGGGCTCAGGCTTCTCACTGCTGATGCCAAGAAAATAGTATACTATGCATACAAGATGGGCTGATGTGCCAGACGTGGTAAACTGTAATCCCAGCAGCTTGGAAAGCTGAGGCGGGAAAATTAAGAGTTCAAAGCCAACCTTAGCAACTTAGCAAGGCCCTAAACAACTCTAAATAAAATACAATAAAGCTCCCAGCGACTTGGAAGGCTGAGGCAGGAGGATCATGAGTTCGAAGCCAGCTTCAGCAACAGCGAGGCCCTAAGCAACTCAGTGAGACCCTGTCTCTAAATAAAATATAAAATAGGGCTGGAGATGTGGCTCAGTGGTTCAGTGCCCCTGAGTTCAATCCCCAGTATCCAAACAAAACAAAATAAAACAAAAAGATGGGCTGATGCTGTTTTCCAAAGGATACAATACCTAATTAGGCAGCATTTGTTGGGGGTGGGATAATGAAATTAGAAGACCACAGGCCAGTCTTCTGTGTTATAATCCTGCCTTCTGAAGAACTGTGAAGAATTTGGAAATGGTTAAGTTCTTAAATGTTGCATTGCTTTACAGTGAATGCTTATGTGCAATGCTGAAAAGAAGGGGGAAGAAAGCCTCTTGTCACCTGAGTGGAGGACATTCTTGCCAGCAGGAACTCACAGGGGTCTTGTCTGCCAGGCTCCTTTCGACAGTCATCATTCCAGCCATGTGAACAGTGGCTCCTCAGAGAGCACTGGCCAGAACAGAGCCTGCTTTCTCAGCTTGACCTGCAGAAAGCACTGACTTAGCCAAAGAAAACAGGTTTTCCAAACTTGGCTGCACATAAGGACCACCGGAGGGACAAAGCTAAAGCAGATTGGTGGGCTCTGCTCCAGCTGTACTAAATCAGAACCCCTATAAGTGGTTCCTCTGATGGGGCCAGTGTGGGAGACAATGAACCGCAGGCATCAGAGTGCCTTAGAAGGAGAGAAGAGGGGCGGGGCGGTGCGATGGTCAGGCTAAGCTAGATGCTGATGTTTTCTGTCCTGCTAAATGAATGCTGCTGCCTAAAAGGGTGGGGGATGGCAAAGCCATTTCTACATCTCTGATGATAGAATAAAATAGTACTCTGTAGGTCTTGTACTAATGAATTTTCTCCAAGTAATGATCCAATAACAACAGATAGAACAGATAGGCTTTTCCAGTGCTTTTCCATGTGACAGTGACTCTTCATAATGAGGGAGAAAAATCAGGCTTGAATTAAATGGGAGCTATTTACAGTTCTGACTGGCTGGCCTGACATCAGATACAAACTGTCTTTCATCAGTTCTCAGTCCATCCTCTTTGAAAATGTACACGTATGCATATGCATATGTGTCTTCACACAGAATTTATATTCATCATATATAAAATAGATAGATAAAGATAAGTAGCTATAGACATGCCTCTAAGCCCAAAAAAAGAAAGAAGAAAAGCCCTGGTACTATCTCTGCTGCACACAAATCTAGTAGGACAGCAGCACACTGAGCAGGAGCAGCAAATGAATTATTTTTAAACCAGCACAGTAATAAGATATCTAAGAGCCAGCATGGTGACACACGCCTGTAACGCTAGTGGCTTGGGAGGCTGAGGCAGGAGAATCATGAGTTCAAAGCCAGCCTTAGCAACTCAGCAAGGCCCTAAGCAATTCAGTGAAACCCTGTCTCTAAATAAAATATTTTAAAAGGCTGGGGATGTGACTCAGTGGTTAAGTGGCCCTGGGTTCAAACTCCAGTATCAACAACAACAAAAAAAGTTAAGGAAGCCCTCTGGATCATTTAATTTAGTGGCAAACAAAAAAAAACATGTGGAAAAAAAAAACATGGTGAAATTTTTCTAGCAAAATCTTACTCAGAAATGTAACGTGCACACGCACACACACACACACACACACACACACACCAGAGAAAAAGCATAACTGCTCTGGCTAGATTGTGGGTAGACAGGGAAGGAACATCACAGTTCCACCTGCTTCACCACCCTCAGCTCTGGGCCATGCCTGTGGAGTGCCAGAATTCTAGGTACATAGATGAAAACCACCTATGAGTCCAACTTCTTTATTCTACACTCCAGGCAACTTCTAAGACCCAGGGATATGTGGCATGGCTGGCTGCTTTTCTGATTCCTGGACCAGTCCTCTTCTGGGATCCCCTCTCCCATACATGTTACATCCAATAATATGCACTACAATATCATACACTCATCCCATAGAGTGGAGTATTTCTCTTCTGACTCAGAATAGATATGTACCTTGACAATTCTCTTTACAAGTACTGTTCTATGTTGATATATCCTAGTCCTGTCTCCAGTCCAGTATATGCCATATTCCATGCCTCATCTTGACCAAAGGATTTAAAAGATCAATTTTTAAACAGGTGCCACTGCAAACAGACTTCTTCAACTGAAAACCCAGTTGACTCTCACTTCTCAATTTCCTTTTATCCATCATTGATTCTCAACCCAGCTGCATGATAGAACGAACTTTAGAAAAGAGAGATCATTACTCAAACCTCATCCTCATAAGTTTTGGTTTGATTGGTCCTGGGTGAAACCCAGGCATGCCACCTGGAGAGTCTACCCAGGTGCTCTTGATGTGCAGCCAGGATTACAAATAGCAGATATCATTGTATTTCATGATTGGTATATAGATGAAGTCCTCATATATTATTGCATTACTATTAAGGATGATTCCATATGTCTCTGAAAAATTTGAAAGCTACGTCACACACTGCAGTTCTAAAGACAAACCCTGAATTGCTAGAAAAAGAAAGCATTACTAACTCTTATGTTCACTTCTAGATTTACAACGTCCATTATACTATGAGTATCAATGGGAAATTACAAGATGGGTCAATGGAAATAGATGCTGGGAACAACTTGGAGACCTTTAAAATGGGAAGTGGAGCTGAAGAAGCAATTGAAGTTAATGATTTCCAGAATGTAAGTATATGTCATGCATTTATAGAGTTTAACCAGGCAAGCCTGGGGGACTTTTCTAATTCAAGGTGATACAGCATCTCTCTCACACACTCACATGGTAACTGTTCTTTACAGTAGTATTAGTGCCACTGATCAGCATGTAGCATGTAGCATATTCCTTCTGAGAAAGGACCACATACTTTGTTCTTCAGATTTTCAAAAGGAGAGGACCACACTTCCATGGAAAAAAAGATAATATGAAACAATAGTAATAACACCTTTGGGCACAGTGATGCATACTTTTAGTCCCAGTAACTCAGGAGGCTGAGGCAAAAGGATCGCTTGAGCTCAGGAGTTGGAGGCCAGACTGGGCACTATAGTAAAATTCTGTCTCCAAAAGTAAAAAAGAAAAAAAAACACTGTCAAATTCATAAAACTGTGCACTTGGGAAAACTACTTTGAAAAACAAATGTTTCTTCTTCTAGGAAATAAAAGATATGGGCTGAGAAGTCAAAATAAAACTTGATATTTACAAAAAATGGAAAAAATCACAATTGAAAAGAACAAGTTCTTAGAATTATATAAAGTCTTGGCAGAAAGACTTCAAAGAACTATTTCTTTTCAAGTAGTCTTCTGTAACATAATAAATAAAATGTATCCTAGAATATTGCAAGGTCTGAAATCTGAATTTCTAGAGAGGAAGGAAATTTTAAGGATCTCATAGTCCCATCAACAACAAATAGAATCTACTTACATATTTTTCCATTTAATACAGAAATGAGCATGGGCAAAATCTATTTTATAGTTTGTGTTCTCTAGCCATGACCTATTACTGAAAAATTGTTCAAATTCCATTTGAAAATGAATACTGTTTTGTTTTACCACCAAAAAATAATTTACAGGCTATTTGAGATATTAAGCTAGTTAGTGATGCTTCAGCCTACATCTGCTACCATCCAAAGTGTCACTCCAGACTAATTTCCCATTGGCCAACATAAATATCTTATTCTCTTTCACATTCTGCAATGAGGAAGAGGCCTCACTATTTGGGTTCTCCTATTAAATCTGAAGATGGAGTAGGTGAAACTTCATAATGAAAAAGAGCTCTTGAAAATAATGTCTCTTCCTATAGTTTATTGGTCCACAAACATCTCATTGACCCATCTTCTGAGTGATGAGAAAAACTAAAGATGTTTTTCATTTAAATGAAAGCACTCATCTTGCTGGCACCAAATGCACTTTGCAAGTTCTTTTGAATGTCCAACAGATGCTAACATTAGAGCCCTGGGATGTTGCACATTATTCGATGATGGCAAGGACAGGCTATGTTCAGAGTGGTCTCGCCCTGGAGACAGGCTCTGCAGCTCGGACTGTGCCCAGCTGTACTATGTTTGGTCATAGCTTTGCAAATGGTTCTGGTCAGTGCACAAGTATAATTTCTTTGGACCTATTAAAGGCTTTTACTGCAAGACCCAGGACAGGGAGATGCATTTTTTCTTTGTACTACTCAATATAAACTAATAAAATGTGACTCCTCCATGCACATCATTCAATCCAGAACAAAATTGAATGCCTATGATGTGCCCCAATATCAAGATATGCAAAGGGAGCTACAAAGATAAGATCTATCTCTCTCAAGATGTTCATGTATCCTTTGAAAATATTTTAATCCCAAACCTATATATCTGTTTTATAATCCTTTGGTTCTTTCTAATAATGGTATTGATTGTGTTTTGTTCTCATAGACCAACAGGCCACAAATATTTTATAAACTGATCAATTTTATTTGATAGCTTCCACATCTCTCTAAGCCAGAAATGGTGAGTAGAACATTTTTTTGATGGATAGTACCTGTTATGGGTTTAAACAAGCCTGGACTTTTGAAGACACATGAATCAGCCTCTATGGTCATGCACTATTGGTTTCTCTTCTACTTTAAACCATCAGTCAAATTCAGGAAGTTATTGACTGAGGCTCCCTCTGGGTATGGGATGTTGCTAAGCACAGAGGATGCAAAGATGACTAACATTTGTCCCTAAAGGACCATCCAGTCCAGTCTGGGAGGCAAACACACACACACACACACACACACACAGAAACAGTGCCAGGTCTGCCCAAGAAATGTGTTGTGATGAGCCGTGAGCAGAGTGCCATATTGGCATTGCTGCCCATTAGGGGCTTTGAGCAGGTTTGACAGGGATGATGACAATTGAATCATCCTGAGGAACAATTTGGATTTCAACAGAGAGGTAGGGGCAGGACTCTCGAGGACCAGGAAGCGATGACCAATAGAGATGTATATTCCTGCTTCCAGTACATTCCAAAGGGGGAAGAGACATGGTGGAGACATAGGTGGGGCCAGAGTATGATAGGTTCTGAATTATAAATTATCAGTCCCCCTGTTCACCCAGGACCCCACCAAGGTTTTAATAGATCCTAACAAACAAACAAACAAAAGAACCCCCAAAGGAGAAGAGCACTGAAAAAAAGTACATTGGGCTCTGTGACCTCAGAGAAACAAACACTGGGTTAATTCATAGTGCATGAGTGTATGGTTCTAGGAGGTTATAATCTCACAAGCATCTGTGCTGCTGATTTGAGCCCCTCAGACTAAATACCCCATTTAAATAACAAAAATCCTGGTTGGAAATTAAAAGACACAATATACTGATGGGTATATGAATGTTCATTGTACATTTAATTTGTAAATATTTGAAACTTATAATTAGAAAGCTGGGAGGAGAAAAGGATAATATAATCTACCTAGACAGGTAGGCTATTGATTTAAAAAATCAATATAGTCTTCAACTGTAACATAAAGGAAAAATAAAATGAAAGTAATTTATAATAAAATATGAATCTCATATATAAATGTTTAGCCTGATGCATTAGAAAACATAATAAAGTCAAATTCATGTGGGGTAGTTGAATGACTGTCAATGCCACAACCCGAAATGCAGATGGACACAAGTGTGCTTTGGCAATGCAATGTTATATCATTTTCTCAAACAGTGGACGTAAGTACCAATTTCTCTCTATTTTCACTGTAATTGCATTTGTAGGAAATTCATTGTACATTACAACTGTGCCAAAAATCATTCTCTATTTATATGTAAAACACTGTCGGGTTCTAGGCACAGATTCCTATATAGATGGGTTTTTCTCTTAGACCCAGGACAGTCAGTTCTTTGGGACTACCCCTGGCTCTGTGGGACCCAGTCTCCCTGGGCAGAGCCCAGTAAGGTCAGGAGCATCTCGATCTTTGTAACAACAAAAAACTCCTCCAGAAATTTCTAAAATACCCTTTAGGGGCAGGACTCCATGCCTTCCTGAGAGCCTTCTGGGAGTCACAAAAATAGATGAAATGCCCTAGAAAGAAAAAAAAATGTACAGCTAAGGTGATTTTTAAAATAAAAATGTTAGGTTTTGGAAATCTTCACTCATTGCCTTTGTTAGCAAATTTCTTCATTATCACCAGCTTCTAAGGCCTTGATTGTTTGCAAAAAAGCAGGAGGTTTGCTTGACTTTCTGGTGCTTCCTTTAGTTCTCTGTTTAATCTCCTAAAATGTCTGGCTGCTTGATGTGGATTTGTAGCTAGACACGGTGGTTAATACTCTGTGAATTCTTTCCTGCTGGTCCTGCCCCTGTGGGGTTTCAGTTCTCTGCAATGTGTAGACTGCCAGAACCAACTCAGTGCTAGATTCACATTTGGTGCTGTTATCTTTCAGCAGAAGCAACTCTCTCCTTGGGGGTTATGGTGTTTCCTCCCACACATCTCACATTCAGAGGACAGGAGTGTTTGAAGTTAAGAGAACATATTACATAGGAAGGCAGTCATATCCCTCCCCTGCCTTCTGTTTTTTTGAACCATTGGTCCTAGATTGACATACAGAATAAGAGCAGCAGAACTTTGGGTGATAGCATAGCCAAAAGTGGTTCTCCAAGTGTGTTTCTGAGGCCACCAGCAGGGTAGTATCCAAGAGCTTGCTGGAATGCAAATTTGTAAGTCTGGGAGTGAGACCCAAAACTTTGTATCTTATTTAACAAGTCCTCCAAATGACTGTGATGCAAGGGAAAGTTTATGAGACACTGGTACAGAAGAAACTTGGGTCCAAAGGTAATTACAGTCATTTCAAAATTTAGTTTCCTAAAGAAGTTCCTTTTACCCTAAACTGGTAGTTCTCAACTTGGGCTTTGTATTATAGATACCTGGGGAACTTTTAAGACTACCAGTGCCATACCAATCAAATGGAAATCTCTGGGGAGGGCCCAGAATCTGTGTTCTTAAAATTTCTCCAGGGCATTCTAGTGCTTGAAGTCAGACCCCTTGAAGTTCCTCTGTGAAGCAGGGGATGGTGACCATACCTTGTCTGAATGACACCTGGTGCCAGGAGAAATAGGAAAAATGGGTTATGTATGTGCACGTGGCTAGCCAGGCTTCAAGGCAAAAAATGAGATGTTTTGGAAAGAATGAATGAAACTTTCCTACTCCATTCACAAAGTGTTACCCACTAGCTTCATAGGGTTTCTGGTGCTAAATTCAAATAAAGCAGAACTTTCAATGAATCTCCTCCCGTATGACTTAACAATTAACTTTATTCTTCACCTAAAAGGACTGAATCCTGAGCTAGTATCCCTAGATTTCTAAGTGCTTTTCTTCCCCCATTCCTTAGCACCGATTCTGCAATCCATTCAGTTATCATCCTGACATCCATCTCAACACACATAAGATTGTCAAGGTTCAGACTTGGAGGTGGGGTCTACATTATTATGGAATAAAATTTATGACCTTTAAGACTATTTTTGGCTACTCACTTGTCATGAAATCAAAACCAGCAGAGCAAAAATCAATACTCCGGGGACAGAATATACAGTTACCCTTCATGTCCTCTGCGGGTAGAAGCAGTGGCTGAGCTTCAGCCAAGATGGAGCCTGTGCCAGTGTTTCCCTTGAGGCTAGTCCCCAGGCAAATGAGGTGGAGACACTGTTTATGACTCACAGGGGACAAAAACAAAAGATCCAGGTTCTCGGGTAAGGTCTAGGAGCAGAGTTCATCTCCTGGTGACGGGATAAGCCTTTTTGTTTACTCTGGGCTCAGTAGCTTAGGACAATTAGGAATTAGAATTAATTTGACCAACATCTTTCTTTGTGTGTGTGGTACTGAGGAATAAACCTGGGGACTCTTTACCACTTAACTACATCCCCAGCCATATAGATCTATATTAATATGGGTATAGATATATTTTTTGAGATAGTATCTCCCTAAGTTGCAGAGCCTGGCGTTGAACTTGCCATCCTACTGCTTCAGCCTCCTGAGTCACTGGAATTACAGGTGGGTGCCATTGTGCTTGGCATTGACATCTTTTGAGAATTTTTTTAGGATCACCAAAAAGAAAAAAGACAAAGATACTGAGCTTGAGCTTGTAACTAAATAAACAGTGTAGACTAAATGCCAAATGAGATAGAGATAAGAGGATGGACTCACCTGAACTGGGAGTTCAGAGAGGTTTTGTGGAAAAGCTAGCAATTCATCTGAACTTGTGGTCATCAGTGGAGTCACCAACATATTCTGACCCACTCAAATATTACCTCCTTGTAGTCTCCTCTCCTATGCTGCCTAAAGTACCATTCCCTGACATTTCTATCCTTCTCTGGCTTATTTTCTTCATAATACTTATTTCTACCTGACTTTGTTTTATTTTTAGTAAATAATGGTAAAAGGTAAATCCCATGAGAGAAGGGATTTTTATGGTTTGTTCATCCCCCATACCCAGCACCTGGAACAGTGCCTGTATCATAACAGTTAATAAATGAATGAATGGATAGATGGATGGATATACTTTTATCTCCTAGGGCATTACAGGAATACGTTTTGCTGGAGGAGAGAAGTGCTACATCAAAGCGCAGGTGAAGGCTCGTCTTCCGGAGGTGGGCACCATGACCAAACAAAGCATCTCCTCCCAACTGGTGGGTACCCACTTGCTCAGACAGTGAGAGCTTTGGCAGCTACTGTTTGAAGGCACAACCCCTTCCATCTCCAGGGTCAGGTTCATGACCAGACCTCAGTTTTATTTCTTCTCTAGCAAAGCAATTTAAACTATTTTTGTCCTACTGGCTCCAAAGGATCATTCTGAGTTGATGTATTAAAGATCTGGGGAAGTCACATTTAAAAGTGCAGAAAGGGGCTTGGTCCCCACATGACCCTCACTTGCCTGATGTTAGGAAATGATCTGATCAGTGATTAAGATTCTATGATAAGGTGCACCAACTGTGGGCCAGAAGCTTTATCAAGGGAGGTTCTAAATTGTTTTGCCCAACATTGAACTGAGATGGCTTCTCTACAATTTCCTCCTTTTAGTTCAAGGTCAGTGCAAGAAAGCTATATAACATATATTTAATTCCTTTTCTATGTATATCAATTTATGAATTTTGTTGACATAGTTCTTTCATTTATTATTAGTAAATTGCCTTTTAAGTTTGATCTTTTTAAAATTCACTAAGAATTCCACAGAGTTCTAAAGACACATTTAACAATCACACCTTATGGTTTTATGATGTTAGGTCTTACAAAGTGGTCACACCTATTATGGTGTACCATTTAAGTTGTTCCAAGTATGGTGGAAAGAAAATGGGCTTTAGAATCAGAAAAACATGGATTCAAATCCTAGTGCTGTGGATGTGGCTTTAACTCCTTGAGTCTCAGTTTTGTCATCTGAAAATTGGGGGTAGACACACTGTGCCCATGATTCTAAAGAATCTACTAGATGTTGAATGAAAGACTGTTGCTCATCATTGCTAATTTTATTATGATCATCTCTGAGCCTTCCGGTATCCCTGAGAGGGAAGCGCAGCAAGTGTTAGTTCCCTCAAGGCAAAAGAGGGAAAATATGGGTAAGCGAAGGTGCCTGGAAACTGCCTGATTGTTTGCCCCCAAAGGAGCAGCAGCAGGAGTTATCTGAAAACAAAACAAAGCAGAAGCTAAAAAACAAAGTTTTGAAAGTGGCCCACCATGAGCTCTTTTCTCTTGCTTACTCCCCGTTTCCCCAGCATTCATCCTGTGAGATGTTTTCCAGACTCCATTGGTCCAGCCATTCTCGTCTGATCACATTTCTTTGTTCCTCTTGAGCTGAGCAGCTCAGAATGAAGCCCATGCTCTCTGTGTAACCCACTGATGCCAATCTAAAAATGGGAACCATACCTCCTTTGCTCTGACCCCTGAAACTCTCTTACTGCATTATCACTATTTTTTAAATACATTTGTACCACTCACTTTCAATCATAAAGACTTTAGTGAACTATCATCCTTGCCATCCTCCCCAGAAAAGGACATGGGACTCATTCTCTGTGCCTTCCATAAGAACCAGCTCCCCAATCATAGCTTACCCAGATCTACTCATAAGCCTACAGTATATTTTATAAGTTACTTTTTGATGTTTTTTCCATGATTTTTAAAAACAACAGTTACTGTAGAAAATTTTGGAAATACATACAAATTTAAAGAAGAAAATAACCCACAATGGCACAATCCACAGACGACTAATGTTAACATTTTGGTGGATTTTCTGTGTTGGTGGGTGTGTATCAGATATTATTTTCGTAAGTGATGTGAGACTGCTGTATTATTATTTTCACTTTAGTTCTTTTAAAGTGTAAATTACCATGTAGATTATGTGATTATAATTTTCAAAGTCATTTATTCTTTTTTAAAAGTTGTAGATGGACCTTTATTTATATGTGGTGCTGAGAACTGAACCCAGTGCCTCCTCATACATGGTAGGCAAGTGCTCTACCATTGAACCACAACCTCAGCCCAAAAGTCTTTTATTCTTGAACACTTCCATTATCTTCAATTTTTCACTATTTCAAAAAAATAATAATTAAAAATAATTATTTTTGAATAAAAAAAATTCACCGTGGTAAACATTTCTGTATTTCAATTTTTGTACCTGATTTTTTTTTTTTTTTGCCATAGAGGTAGATTATTTGTCCTGTGTTTTAGTTGTTTCTATCATGCATGATGGACCCTCTCTGATGGACAAAAGCCAATTCAGCCGATACACTGTGTGAATTAGACGTGTGCTTGGCTGTCAGCAGCAGATAACTTCACTTAGAGTAACTTATAGGGACTTGTTTTTCTCCCACAGTAAGCAGTGAAGAAGTAGGCAGCTGTGGAACTGCTCAAGGGCCAGCATCTCTTTGATTTTTATTTATTTATTTTTATCTTTCCTTCGAATTCCAAACGTGGTGGCACCACACAACCTCTTCTTTAATCCAAAAGAGGCTGAACAGGGTGAACTGTGATTTAAATCTGATAGGTAAAAACAGGTCTCAGTTCCTCAACATACTCCAGCCTGGATTTCAGTAGTCAGCACTGGCCAGCCAGGCACATAGGCCACTGGACAGTATGAGAAAGCAAGTGTCTGTCCTGGCAGGGGCTGCCTCCAAGGAAGTAGGACTGTGTTACGAGGAAGGGGCAGGAGGAAGGAATGGATAAGAAACTTCGAGTATGTGCCCCAAGATTTATTTGACATTCTTAGCTTATAGAATGCATCTACATGCATTATCCCAATCATTCCATTTTTCCCCACATACTTTAGATTATGATGGGGCAGATTTATGCATCACTTACTCCCATAAATTTTTTATCAGTTTGATATAACTTTAAAAAGCTACTGTACTCAGAGAGCATTCATTTCCTGGATGGAGCCATTTAATTTAAGGTAAATAACTGGATTACCTGAGTGTTAGCTTCTTCCAATAACTTTAAGTTGTTTTAATGCAACCATAAGCCTGAGGGAGAAAACATAAATGAAGTGCTGCTTTTAACTGAAAAGTAAGGAGAAAACATTTTAATTTCTCCAACCTACTGCAAACTAATAAATACATGAAAGGAACAACCTGGCAAAAATAAATTTGTCTCCTGGGTTATCAAACCATCCTCAGCATCTCTCTGTAGAAGAAAATCTAGGGTTTAGCTTTGAAATCTCAGTGGTGTGCCTGATGTGAGGAACATCTGAAATATGTTTTGTTATAGCTGAGAAATGGAGAAATGGTTTATGTTAAATACTACTTTGAACTGGAGACATTAAAGAACCAATCACTTGCTTTTTCCATTGTTGTTAGGAAACCGCAGAACAAAACCCCAAAAGATTTTCACTTCAAATGAAGGGTTCCTCTATCCTTTATAGGATTTCAGGGTCTGTTCAATTGCTTTTTTGCAAAAAAACATCTTTGATCGAAAACATCAGATTAACCTAAATCTCAAAGTTGGTATCAAGTAATTTTCACTTCAACACAGAACACTTCCATTCACACATTACAGCTATCCAGAGGCAGTGTAACAGGAGGTGTGCTGAATACTGTGAAGAGAGCTACAAAGAGATTGAAACCTGAAAGTGTGTGTGCATGGCACACACACTCACATGCAAGACACACACAGAATTCTGTTTTTACAAGGTAAACTAATCTTTTTAGCAACCCACGACTCAATCTGAAGCATGTCCCACCATCTTCTTTACTCATGTGCATTTCATTTTTAATTTCAGGAAGGCAAGATCATGCCTGTTAAATATGAAGAAAATTCTCTTATCTGGGTAGCTGTTGACCAGCCTGTGAAGGACATCAGCTTCTTGAGTTCTAAAGTCTTAGAACTCTGTGGCAACCTTCCTATTTTCTGGCTTAAACCTACATATCCAAAAGGTAACATTTTAAATTCTCTTAATGGTGCTTGGAATTCTTCCTGTTCCTGTGAGATTCCTCCCTGCCTCTCCACAGGTCTGAGCATGTAACAAGAACGATAACATCAGGATGCATGTGATGATGTCTTGGTAATTAGCATGAGAGATAAAAGACAAGAAGAATGACAGCTGTGACTGCCATGTAGAAGGGAAGGAGCAACAGGGTTAAAAGGAGGCAGTGCAGGAAGACAGAACACATTGCATTACCTGCGACTTTTATTTATGATGCTCCCACTTCTTGCCGCTGTGCCCCTTAATCTCACTTGTTTGCACCTTCCAATTTTACTTTTTTTTTTTTATTCCTAAGGCATAGAATCAAGGGACTAACAAACTGTCATGCCACCGAATCTTTATTATGCTCAAACCTAGAATTATGGGACAGCCAAAAGCTGCTGTGGGTATAGGCTGAGATTCCTCAATTTCTAAGCTTGAGCATCAGCTTCCAAGTCCGGAGAAAATAAATTCCAGGTCCCTGGGGCTCAGAGATAGGCATATTTTTTAACTATTTCCAGGTGACAAAGGGCAGGTGAGACCAGCAGGCCTCTCTTTCCCCTGAGTCTTTCCTGTCTCTAGAGGGCTTCTCACTTCATTTCTACTGCAGTCATTGACCTTCCCAAGGTCTACTTTGTAGCTCTGGTTCAAGGAGGGGAGGGAGTGAAAGCCCTTCTCCTCACACAGCTGAGATGGGCTGTTTTCTGAAAGATTCTACTGAACACCAGAAGAGAATAGAATGGAAATGAAGAAAGTAGAGGCATTAGAGCCACTAGGCTTGGTGGGAGACTTGTTATGGACAGTTAGTGTTTAACAGGTAGTTTCAGCTGTTTGCAAGATGAAAAGAGTTCTAGGGATGGACGGTGATGGTTGTGCAGCAATGTGAATGCACTTAATACCAGTGAACTGTACACTTTAAAATGTTTATAAAGTGAAAAATTTTTGTTTATAGGTTTTACCACAATTAAAACAATACCCCACCAGGCTGAGAAAGTATAGGTTTCTGATTCTTCCATGACTAACTTATTCTTAGTTCCTATTCTGTTCCAAAGCCTGGAGGAGATGGCTACTCCCTAACCCAGGACAAGCTGACAGAATCCAATGCATAAGCCACTGACAGTGGCTGCCAGGCATGTCAGTAAGTAGTATCTGTCACCAAGGGGCTGGAGGAAGGGCTGCCAAATAGTCTGTGCTTTTCTCATCTATGCTCTTGCTCAGGTCAGTGGTTGTAACACAATTCTATGGTCACTTACCAAAATCCTGCTTTCCATTCCCCACCTTCCTTCACCCAGGTGGGGCTGTTAGTCAGCTTTTTGTTGTCATGACAAATATCTGAGGAAAAAAAAAAACTAGAGGAGGACAGATTTATTTTTTCTCACAATTTCAGAGGCTTTAGTCCATGGTTGGCTGGCTACACTGCTCTGCACCTAAGATTAGGCAGAAGGGTGTGGCAGGGGAAAGCTGCTCAGCCTGTGGCTGCTGGAAAGCAAAGAAAGAGTGGTAGGGAGAGGGCTGGAGACAAGATAATTCTTTTCGGGGCATTCTCCCAGTGATCTACTTCCTCCAACCATGTCCCACTGCCTAGAGTTTCCAATGGACTTTCATTGGTAGTCCATTCAGCTACCAATGAATTAACCTATTGCTAAAGTTAGAGCCCTCATGATCTAATCCCTTCCCAAAACCCCACCTTTGAACACTGCTGCGTTGAGGACCAAGCTGTCAACACGAGTCTTTTGGGGTAACATTCCAGATCCAAACCATGACAGTGAGCCTTCATGCTTTCTACTACCCAGGAACTACATTTTCCAGTCAAGGACAAAAGTCCCCACACTGTTACCACATAGAGCTCTCCCCAATCACATTCTGTCTGAAGACAAAGTCTCTTACCCAGAGTTCATTCACTCATTTGACAAACCTATCATGTACCACATAACTTATTTAAGGCTTCTGAGGTGCATCAGTGAACAAAAGACAATATTCCATGCCATCAATGAGTTTTACATTGTAGCAAGAGGATATAATTGACATTAAATTAAAATAAGAAAATTATATAGTATGACACAAGGTGCTATGCAAAAATAACAGTGCAGAACAAGGGGGTGAGGAATGGGGATGGGAAGACAGTATAATTAGCAGTGCTAAATGATAGACACTGAGTAACTTCACCCTTGGGAAGGAGCTTGTTCCTTTCATCCAAGATGTTCCTTGATCCCTCACAGTCCAATTGCATGACCACATTCAATCATCAAAGATCCATACAAGAATTACACATATGGGACTGGGGATATAGCTCAGTGGCAGAGTACTTGCCTAGAATGCACAAGACCCTGCCTGGGTTCAATCCCTAGAATGTAAAAAATAAAATAAATAAAAAGAATTATATATTCTGTGCATGAGAAAAGTAGAAACCAGCCAAATGCCCCAAGATCAGAAAAGGGTTAAAAACATATTTATCCTTTATATATTTGTTTATATATAAATACATTTATATATCTTATACATTTACATATAAACATAATTTTATATATAAATATAAATGTATTCATAATACATATGTATATGTATACATATCTCCAAATACATATATTTATATTTCCAAAGAATGGAATAACATAAATATTAAAAATAAAGGTAATGAAGGATTAAGCTGGGCTCAGTGGAAAATATCTGTAATCCCAGCCATCTGGGAGTCAGAGGTAGGAAGATCAGAAGTTTGAGACAACTTAGTGAGACCCCATCCAAAGGGCAGAGCTTGCTTCAATCTTTTGTTGATTGTATTTTACAATAAAATCAAGAAAATCAACCTCCCTGTAGAGGGTGTCTGGTTCCCCTCTAATTCTAATAAATGCCCTCAACTCCAGGGTCCAGTAGCCCTTGCTCTGCAATCTGGAAGTCTGCAGGTCATTGGGGTCATTTATCAAAGATGCTGTAAATGGTGCCTGGATGCAGGTCAGAAGGGAAGCAGAACACAGATGTCCACAGAGCTCTGACTATGCGCCAGGCACTTCCCTAGAGCATTACATTTTGTCCTTATTTAATCTTCATTAATAACTGTTGAGGTGACTCTTCATATTCCTATTTTACAGATGAAGAAACCAAGGTTCACAGAGATTAGGTAATTTGCCTGAGGTCATTCAGCTAGTAAAAGGAGTTGTGGACTGAATCCACGTCTCCCTGATGTTTATCCAAAGTTATCTCTAGCTTTAAAGCATACTAAGTGTTCATAAATAACAAAGCATGATATAATCATCATCATCATCTGATATTTGAGTGCTTATTATAAACACTTGTGCTAAAACCTTTAGATATACATTTTCATTAACCTTATCACTATCTTATAAAGTAAATATTTTTATACTCATTTTATAGATGAAACTGAAGCACAGGGAGACACCAAAGTACATATTGTATGGTACTTTTCATCTGCTACTCGGCCATTGGTGGCACTGCCTGATGTATGAAGCAGTGTGATTAACTAGAGGGGGGTTTGGAATCAGAGTTCACATCTGTGATTGTGGCCAGGCCACCTGGGTCTTCCCAAGACTTGAGGCTCTTATACCAGTGGCTGCTTTTTCAATCCCATAGAACTTTTTATGAGAATCAGCCAAGATAATGTACTTTGCAAACTGTAAAGCTTTATACCTATATAGCCAATCCTTTAGGAATAGTTACAACTACTGGTCTATTAGGCTAGGGATATAGCTCAGTGGTAGAGTGCTTACCTAGCATATGTGAGGCCCTCGGTTCAGTTTCCAAAACCACTAAATAAAAAGATGTTTTGAGGAATACTTAGGGCTGTGAGAAATAGAATACAGATCAGTGGTTTCAACAAATATGGTTTTGTTTTAAATTATTTTTAACAGCCAGAAGCCTGGAGGTATGAAGTTTCTAGCATTATTAGCTTCTCTGTGATACTATCATGTTTCTAACTTAGCGTTTTGCTATCTGTAGCATGGTGGTTTACCATTCTTGTGCCTAACACTTCATAGTCAAAGGTTGGCTCTTATAACTCTAGATAGCACATCTACATTCAGGAAGGGTAAATAAGATAGAGGAAGTTATATCTGTCCTGTTGTACCAATAAAACAAACTTTCCCACAAGCTGCACTACCATATTCTGCTTATGTCTACCAGATATGGTCATCTGTCCATTCCTAATTGTAAAGGAGGCAGAGAAAATCAATAGTATTTATTTACTCAGCCCCATAGTGAAATGGTCAAAGAAAACAGTTGTTGAGAATGGGACTTTGTCAAACATCTTTCAATGTCTGCTTCAGTTAGTATTATAAAACCAAAACGAATTATCTGTATGTCTTAACTACAGACCCAAGACTCTAAAAGATGCTTTCATAAAATCATCAGTACAAAAAGTTACAAGAGTACTCATGATTATACTTTGATATTCTTATGTTTTTCACCCTGAAAACAAATGCATATCTAACTTGCTTAATCAAATAAAGGGATTAATACACATCAATTTTTGCAGAAATCCAGAGAGAAAGAAGAGAAGTAGCAAGAAAAATTGTTCCAATGACCACAAGAAGACCACGCAGTGGGTCCCGGGGCAGCCCAGGCCCTGGAAGACTGAATAATGAAACCAGACCCGGTGTTCAAGACGATGCCGAACCCTTCAATCCTGATAATCCTTACCATGTGCGTACTGGTGTTCTGGTGACATGCCCAGAGGAATGCATTCAACGTAACTCTGAAATGGTCTTTCTACTTAAGGTTTCATACAAGCACTTAGTATTCAACTGAGAACTTTACTCAGTTGTTATAAAAATACATCTTCATCTATTTGGCAAAAGGTTTATAATTAAGGGTAAGAACACTTAACATTGCCTCTGTAGTGTAAAATCCTTATTGGTTCTAACTCTATTCAAAGTTACTTTCTTTGCTCTCCCTTTTTGTCACAGGAAAACCCATGAAAACAAATTCATATCATGTATTTGATTATTTAAAAATGTTTCCAAGAGTGTTTGCACCCTGGAAGCAACACACAATGTTAAAATATTCTTTTTCTCTTTAAATCCACTTTTTTCATCCATTTAAGAGACATCTGTGAAGAACCTGTTCTTTCTCAGGCCCTGTGCCCACAGTTATTAACTTCTGCCCTGAGGGCTCTCAGCCCTCAAGGAAGGGACTCAAACACAGATGAAAACACTAGCCTGCAACGAGAATTGATGTTTGTTAGGTTGGCACTAAGGTGCTAAAAACTCAAAATCTTCAAAGAAGTATCATTTACAGTTACTGTATTTTGCAGGCAGCAAAATATACATATTTGTAACTAGTTATTAAAATAAAAAATGTATGCAGCTTAAAAAAAAAAAACCTCTACAAAGGGAACAATGTAAAGTGTTTCCCTTCCATCCCAGACACCCTGCCAGCAGCAGCAGCCTATTAACAATTATTATTTGCCAAGTTTCTTTGCAGAAGCAAACACACACATATGTGCAAACACACTGTAACACAAAAATTCTATGCCTTGCTTTCCAGGTTATGTGTGTGTGTAATTAAATATATATATATATATATTTTTTTTTCTTTTTGGTGCTGGGGATTGAATCCACCCAATGCCTCACACATGCTGGGCAAGCACTCTTATCACTGAGCCACATCCCCAGCCAATGTCTTGATTTCATTCCCGTTAAAATACAGTATTTTGGAACTTGTTCCATATCGCCTACATAGTTCTACATGTACTTAATATACATTTTAAAGACTGCCTACAACTCCTACATAATACACATTAATTCTGTGTTATCTTTTCATTTAGTAGTATTCCAACACATGGATGTACATAAACTTATGTAATTCTGCTTTGGTAGGCATATAAATCATTTCTCTACAGCAAATACCTTTAGAGAACTCACAGGGATATGGGTAGTAAATGAGGTAATGCAGGTCAAGTCTTAGCACAGGGACTAGTACATAGCATTAACTTGTTCATCGTTAGCTGTTTTATCTTTTGCACACGTTGTCTTTAGCATACTGAAGCATGGGTCTGCTGCATACAAGTAGATGGGACTCTTATATTTTAACGGATACCAAGCTGCTAAGGAATTATACCAGCCATATGTCTGCAAATGGTAATGGAAGGACCAACTTACTATCGAAAGAAAAAAATTCTTTTTCTTTTTCTCTCGTGATACGGGGGTGATCAAGGTCCTCACACACATTGAGCATGTCCTCTAAAATTTAGCTACACACCCATCAAACTTTTAAAAAAAATTAAGTCTTATCTTGCTCATCTTTTATTATGTGTAAAGCTGATCATCTTTTCATGCACTGTGTGCATGTGTGAAGCATTCAGTCCTACACTGCTTCATGTGTTACAAATGTATTTTCTAGTTTATCATATCAGGCTAATATGTTTTAGAAAGATTTAAAGCCAACAGTATCTTTTAAATCCCAGATCTTATCAGAAAATTCAGGACGCCATAGTAATTCCATAAGCCAACTAAGAAATGAAATCTGGGTGGCAAACAAAAGCTGATGATCCTGGAGGTGGCTGGGTGGCCTGAAATCAGTTCCAAGGATGAGGGTATCAGCCCCTTTACACAAGAGTAGGATGACTTTGTTAGGTGCAATAATGACAGTGTGGTTGTGTAGGAAAATGTCCTTTTATTTTGGAGGCATTTCTAATGTATTTATAAATGAAATGTTACAATACCTTCAGTTCTCTTCAAGTTCATGTCAGAATTTACTTTGTCAAATTGAGGTAAGTGTATTTCTGTTCAATATTCAGTTTTTTCCATTTTTTAATAAATTTAAAAATCTTAACACCTGTCCCCCTAATTAAGATTACATTTCCCACCAAGAGTTAAACGAAAATGAGAATTTTAAGGGGCAATACTAGAGCGTACAGAATCTTGATCCCTAGATATTCTTGAAAAGGTAAACCAGATATGCAAATGAGCAGGGGGCAGATTCCTCCCAGCTTTATAATTTCCCCAGCAATGAAAAGACATTTTACATCAATTATGATTTTGTTGGCAAAGCTGTCTTGAATTCTTATGGATCTTGAATGTTATAGACCCTTTATGACTCTATGGAGATAACATTCCCATTTTGTTGCTGAAAAGAAGACAGGAGAAATGAAATGACTTGACAATGTTCTGGAAGCAAGTAGAACTGGAACTGAAACTTGTTCTTAGCTTAGACCCATGGGTTTCCAAATGTGCACCCTGGAGCCTTGGAAAAAATTACTAAAGAAGGGCACCAGTGTTTCCCTGACTTAAAATTAGCAGTGGCAGAAAAGCTACTTTTGATCATAGTATTTGTTTTCTTACTTGAAACTAGTTGAGTCATACTATTCACGTGTGAATATTCATAATCATGGCTCATTAAAGGCACAGAAGAACTTCAGAGTGCCATTTAAAAACTCCACAATTTTCTGCCAATAACAGATTAGGTAGGTGAGAATTCCTTCATGTCAGAAGACATTCTAAATGATGGCAGTTACAAGTAGTAGATTTTGCTGATCTCTTATGACGTATTCAGTACAAAAAAACCTCAGGATCGTACTTTAAAACGATGTGCTATAACCTCATTATGAAGAAAATAAAGATAATTCTCTTTTATTTCACAGCAGCAAGAAGGAGAAAGCATGACATTTGATCCTAGACTGGATCATGAAGGAATCTGCTGTATAGAATGTAGGCGGAGCTACACCCACTGCCAGAAGATCTGTGAACCCCTGGGGGGATATTATCCATGGCCTTATAATTATCAAGGTTGCCGTTCGGCCTGCAGAGTTATCATGCCATGTAGCTGGTGGGTTGCCCGTATCTTGGGCATGGTGTGACATCACTTCACGTAGCAGGTGCTGCCAAGTAAAATTAACTTGTGAGTTGACAACCAAAGAAGCATAAAACATGCTGATGTTGAGGGACCACAAAGTATTTCATTCTAAACCTAAGCAATGTTATCCTAAACAGAACTTCTCAACTGCTTTCCAGAAATGTACCTAGTATGTGAAGCACATTGAAAAGATGGTATAAAGTCTATAATGCCATATCTTTATTATATGCTTTGCTTTAACAAGGCCTATGCAATTCTTCCCCAGCTATTAATAAACATAAAAATTTTATAATCTGTCAAAGACCTCAACATTTAAGTTCTTTTTTTCATCAACCACATTCAAAATCATTTCAAGCCATTTTGTTATTTGTAAAAAATTCCCAAAWTATTTTTAATCTTTATTGTTCTTCTCAGTCTTACAAAAGTGCCTGGAGTTCCCAGATAAAAACACAAAAATAGGACAAATAATGGAATTTACCTGAAAGTAAGCAATGCAATCTCACTGTGGTGGCTTATGAGGAGCTCTTTATCTATAATTTATGCTGGCATGTGACTAACAGGTGGCTGTCTTATGTAGTCTGGTCACCTCCAGGAAGAGTATTACAATAAAGAAAAACATAGAAGGTAAACTAGACTTGTGAGGAAGCACTTTATTGACATTCTGAAAAGCAGGTCTTCATACCCTTTTCAATCTCTTTTCAATAAGTGGTTGTTGAGCAAGAAGCAGCATAATGATTTTTACCTTTGTAGTACAAATCAGGCTGCCGTGTAGCCCAATTACCAATAAGTTACTATCCTAGTAATAGGGCTGCCAGTGTTGCTTGGCAGATGCAGCTAAGGAAGAATAGCCTATTTATTTATAATGACATAAAGGAAATCTCCCAGGAACAAGAACTGTCTTTAGAAATTGAAATATAAGATCAGGAAGAAGATGAGCAGGTAACTTCATATTTTTGACATTTTAGTTTTGAACCCTACGTTTCAGAGATAAAGAACATTTTTCCAGAGTAAAATAAAAGCTACCCAAAACACAGGATTCTAGGATGACAGAAAGTCCTTAACACAACTACCATATTTTGAATATATCAGATTATTTTGTCTCATGTTTGCCAATTAAAGTCTATAAAAAGATCAGAATGTTTAAAAATCTAGTTATCAGATCCCTCCACTTTATGGAACACATATATAACAAGCTTGGTCTCTGAAGGAAAAAAAAGAACGAAATATACACACTAGAATGACATGAAATGGTCACAACTGACCTTAGGCAGCAGCTACTTCCTGCAGTTGAGTTTTACATGCGCTTTAAAATACTTGCTAGTCTATTAACTAAGTAAAACATGTGCCAAAGAGTTCTGCACACCATCTCCCACCCACAYGGCTCAGCAACCTGTACTGGGTTCTAGAACCAAAATAATGCCTACTTGAGGCCTACATGGATAAGCAGGAGTTAGCCAAGTGAAGTTAAGAGGATGGGCATTCCAGACAGAGACTAGTTTTGAGTAAACCCAGATGGTGTGAGGCTATATGGTATATGAAAAAAAAAAAAGCATTGGCTGAGGTAGGAAATATCAAAATGGAAAAGGTAGAAGCTAAAAAAAAAATTTAAAAATTTTTAAAAAAGAGGAAAGGTAGAAGCTATACTTTAAGCATGTTAATCTGGATTTTTTTTTTCCTTTCTTACTAGACAAGAAAGAGGAAACCAATGAAAGATTTCAGGCAAGGAGGTGCCTGGTTAAGTTTCATTTCAAATGGATCACGTTAGTAGCTTTCTATGTGAGAATCAAGCAGGTTCCAGATAGGTGAAAGGGGCATCTCAGCAAGGAGAGCATATCATAAAGGAAGGCTGCCTCATGAAAAGATGCTCCCTTTTCAAAGCTCATAATTGGATAAAAATGTGGGAGGCAAATAATTTAACACATAAAAAGAATCTGGATGTTTTAAGGGCAGAGGGAAACTCAAGACTAGATAAAGGGTAGGCATAATCTAAGAGACCCAAATTTTGTTCAAAGAAGAAAACTAAGGACTACTTTGAAAAAGCAGCAGCAAATGGACAGAGAAAGAATATCAAGTAAACAGGACACTGGGAAGAATACAAAGTTCTATACAACTTTGTACCATTCCCTAAATTAACCAGGCCAGTCCAAAAGTTGCAAACACACCACAATTTTCTGTGCTGAATCTTGACTGATAGGTCAGTACATATGTATAGGCAAATATATCAGTGATACTTCATTACTTTAGATATGTATTTTTTAGTGGTGATATAAATCAATCCTTATGGAACATTTTAAGCTAGTTTTCAAGGTTTTAGTTTGACTCCAAATGGAAGGGGGCTCCAACAGCTTACAAAAGGTAGCCGCCACTGGGTGTAAGAAAAATGAAGAAAAGGTATTGCAGGGTTTTAATACATAAATTGTTCTTTCTGTCACATTAACATATGTCACTGAAAAATACTAACAAACTTGTATTTCAACAGGCTTAAAAACACATTAACCTTATCCTTTTAACTCCTATCACCATCTCAAATAAATGTAATGTTAAAAAGGGAAATATGGGGCTGGGGTTGTGACTTGCCTAGCATGCGTGAGGCACTGAGTTCGATCCTCAGTACCACAGTAAAAAATAAATAAATAAAATAAAGTATTGTGTCCTCCTAAAACTAAAAAACAATTTAAAAAAAATACTAAAAATAATTATTTAAACCATTCAGTCATTTTATTTATTTCATGAGATTTTATCATACTCTAAAAAAATTCCTTGTGGGTGGAATGGCTTAATGTTTAAACTAAATATGATTTGTTTAATAAAGTAGTAGTTTATAAAAATGGTCACAATTTTTTTAATTAGCTGATTTATTTGGGGAGAAGAGGGAATTGACAAAAATCTACATGCATAGATAGTTCCAATAGTGAATCTCAAACATGAAGGTGTAAATCTGAGTTAATGATACAAACTGCAGCAAAACATTTTACAGGCAGAGTGTGTTTAGTGTTTATAAAAGCTGAACTCATTTTTAAGAGTTTTTGTACATATATATGCATGCCCGTATTCCATATGTATATACAGGTGTACTCCATTGGAAAAACTCCCAACAATATTAGAATCAAATTTACCAAATAAGTTATTGTTGGCTGATGAAAGACTCACCACAAGTTTTAAACTACTTACATTCAAACATTATTCAATTTACATAGTATTTACTGTGTAAGTAATCTATATATATATATGTGATAAGTATGTCTATATATAAAACATATGCACATATAATCTAAACTTAGCAAATGCTGTTTTCTAAGATGTTTGGCTTACTGAACCTTTTTTCATGTTTTACAAGTTTTAAAGTCAAATATATCAGAGTCAGTCTATTAGGTTTCACCTCAAAGTGATAAAAATCATGGTGGCACTGGAAATAATATACTCAAGCTGAGCTAAAGCAAGTTACTAGTTAAAACATAAAATTATTTATAACAAATTAAGTGGTATACCCCAATCAATTCTCACTACAAATTTGGTACTAATTTACAGATACCAGGTGTCATATCTTTTTTCTTTTGCCAAAATCCTTTCATATGAAATTCTTACAAATGAATCAGAACCATAAAACATTCAGTCTCCTTCTTCTCCCATGTAGATGGCTACAAAAATTCTAACAGCAAGAAGAAAGACACTTTGGAAGAAATATCTTTACACAATTTTTTTTTTCGTTTTTGATCACTCACTACATTTGCAAACTTATATAATTACTTAAAAAGCAAAACATGATTTTTGTGGTTCCCTGTCTTTCCACCTTCTAAGGTGCAGATTACTTAACTGCTAGGACATTTCTTTTAATTTCCTATATTTAATTAGCTTAGACTGTTACCCATCTTCTTACAATGAATCTATACTGATATAGACGACCTGGAAAAACTGGTCAAGCATGAACTTTCTCTTAGCAGGACACAACGCTGTTAAAGGTAAGTAGTTTCTTTTCAATTAAAATCATATTCCTGCCTTTTAGTTACTGAAGTAACTAAAAAACTAAATAGTAAAAAGATCTCCATAAGATGCACTTTACACTCAGCCTAATCAACCAACACCATACTCACTTAGCGCATGTGAGTATCAGACAGGGAACATCTGAGAATATGTCCACTGCTAAAGAAATAGTGCCTCATGCATCAGTACTATGTCATGGTCCTCCAAGAACACTTGATAATCAAATATTCTCTGCTAAATTTTAGAAATATCTTGCACTAATAAACTAGTGTCATACTCAAAGTGATTCTCGATTTGTTTCATTTTGACTCCGATTTTCTTTCATCATGTGCAATACTACACCAATATATAGACTCAAAGACAATTATAATGATCCTAAGGTTTAAATGACAGAAAAACAAAATAATCATTGGACAATTCTCTTTTGCCTTTTTATTTCTATGTTAAGAGGAAAACAAATCTTGTAAAGGATCACCCAAGTAGCTTTTTACTCTTTTCTAAAATTTATTAAAAATAAGGCATTATATGTGACTTGTGCTAACTCACTTCTTTCTTTATTCTCTTAGTCCTTGAAATCAATGTCTTCTAAGTACAATCCCTGAGATCACCCGTTTCAACATCATCATGAAAGCACAGACTTATGGGAACCTATCCCAAACCTACTGATTCAAAATCTCAGGAGGAAAGCCGACAAAGTCTACATTTAAAAAATACAAGTCTCCCAGGTGAGATTAGTCACTATTAAATTTAAGGACCACACCCTTTATATTATACAAAATATCAGCCCAATGCTGTATTTCAGTTGCCTGGTATTTTTGAGCAACTATCAGTAGGCCAGTCACTACATGATTAGTTTTGAAAGAAGTTCTGTATAAATTATATTCACGAACTGTTGTGAAGGAAAAAAGTATGAGAGCACTTTGAAAAACAAACATCTATAAAACAAAAAGTTTAACCCAAACATAGACAGTATTTAAGACCCATTCTAGGTCTAAAATTCTAGTGTCATTTTTGTTTTCTTTCCTCATACTGACAAAGGATGGAATGCAAATACATGGTTAAGGGAATAAGAGGTTCCAAAGCTACCTTTAGTCTTGGCAGATGGCCCATAAAACCATGCTCTGCTGACTTGATTTTAATAATTCTATTAAACATAAAATACTATATCACACTTACTCTTAAGTCCCTGTTCACAACCATTCTATTTAATCCAATCTTCTCTCAGTATTTCTTCTGCTATAACTGTACTAACATTCCAGAGAGAAAAATTTTTTCCTAAGCAAACATTGCATCAACATGATATTACCATTAATTTAATGTGTAAGAAAGGGCAGAAATAAGTTTGAGTATTCAGACTGAGGGCTTCAATTATGCCCACTGATCACCTACTATAATTCAAATTAACCACATTAACACAATTAGGGTATCCATAGTCAAAATCCATTGCAACCAATCCCTGTTAGATGTATAACGTAAATTCCAGTTTTCCTTCAAACAGTGCCAGTGTCTAACATTTATAGTAAATTCCACTAAAAGGGAAGAAAAAAAAATCGTACTGATAGAGACATACTTGGGGTGGGGGGACAAAACTGGATATGGGGTCAAACACCTGTAATCCCAGCAAACAGAAAGACTTGAGGAAAGAGGATCACATATGAGGCCAACCTCAGCAACTTAGCAAGACCCTGTCTCATTTAAAAACAGCAACAATAAAAAACCAAAACCAGAAAAACCAAAACAAAAAGGGCTGGGTATGGATGCAGCTTGGTGGCAAAGCATCTCTGGATTCAATTTGTAGCCCAAAACAAACCAACAAAACTACAGTGAGAGAAATGAAGTATAGAAACTAGAAATTTGGGGGGGCAGGAAGAAGAAAGAAGAAAAGAATGAAAATAATAGTATATTCAGAGAGAAGAATAAAGAATAAAAATACTAGTATATTCAGAGAGTAGACATCTACAAACTAAAACCAAAGAATATGGAGTGAAGACTATCTATGGCCCACAAATACTGAAGTGTTTACTATATGGTCCTTCAAAGAAAAGAGTTTGCAAGCACTGTAGTATTCTTATAGTGAAAGAAGCTGAAGTTTTGGTGCATAGAAAAGCAATTAAAGAAATGCAGGTAAAATCTTTGGTTGGGGCTGAATAGCAGGGGGAAGAAAAACCAGACTTTTGCCCTCCTTTAAGGAATTCTAATAACAGGACTGAAGAAAAAAA